ATTAAATTTCGAGACTAGAGATTTTTGTATCCCTTTGTAATTACAGTACGAAATTAGAGATTTTTATATCCCTTCGCGATTCGAGATTTTTATACCCGCCCAATTAAATTTCGAGACTAGAGATTTTTGTATCCCTTTGTAATTACAGTACGAAATTAGAGATTTTTATATCCCTTCGCGATTTTATTTCGAGCTTTGAGATTTGTATACCCTTTCGCGATTTTAATATCCCCGAATTTTATGTGTTAATTATTTTTCTCTGTTTCAGGAATTGATTTTGAATAAATTTTTTTATCGCTGATTAATCTTAATTTGTATATGCGAGCCTATGAGCTAACTAGAGACAGAACTCATTTATCCTTCTGATAAATGAGGTATTGCAATTGGAGGGTGGTAGGGATTTGGAGTTAGGGTGGATTACTCTTTAACGTAGCCACCTCCTCGTGGTGTGACCCGGTAATCGATGTCGTTTTCTAAATATTTTTCACGAAATTCACTTTAGAAAACGATATCGAGCTAAGAGCTACGATTATAACTTCTCGATTTCATATCTAAATTACATTAATTCCGAGCTGTGGGAGGAAGGGTGGGCTCGGGCGCAGGTTTTTCGTCACATGTGGCGAAAAGCTTGCGCAAATTGTAAGTGCCTTTTGTTCTAACTTGCACTCATCTTAACGACAATTTTTTAACTTGTTCGATATTAGTTTGTAGTAGTGACCTTGCATTTTTATTATCAATTGCTTTAAACTTAAAAGAAAGTTCTTCCAACTTTCTTCTTTTACCCTTTTCTTTACTTAGTTTTACATTATACGAGCGTAATTTTAGAACAAAAGGCACATTTAGGGCTTTTTCTATTGTAATATGTTTCATATTTTTTCTAATTACTTTTTGCTGTTTCAGGATTTAATTTTATGTAAGACATTTATTTATTCATATGTGTCTTAATTGTATTTGTTTGTTTCAGGTTTTCATTTTAATTAAGTAATTGAATGTTTCTCAAGTATATTGTATATTTTACAGGTGTGTTTCTACTGAGTCGACTCGAGTTTTTTATTCCGAAAATGTTACTGCGAATTTTGTGTGTTAGCATAAATTGTGCATGTCCAAACATTATAATGTTACTAATATTGCATTTGCCTATCTGTTTCCACTTTTCATTATTACGACTAATTATTCTGTAGGTAACGAATAGGTCATCATTGAAGACATCAATCATCGTGGGATCATCGAGGGATGCGTGCGTTAGTTTTAAGCTAATTTCATGCGTGCGTTAGTTCTAAGCTGATTTTATGCGTGCGTTAATTCTAAGTTAAGTTAAGTTCTAAGTTCTTTTTATCGTTACACCTATTTATTCTATAGGTAATAAATAGGTCATCATTGAAGACATCAATCATCGAGGGATCATCGTGGGATCATCGAGGGATGCGTGCGTTAGTGTTAAGCTAATTTTATGCGTGCGTTAGTTTTAAGCTAATTTTATGCGTGCGTTAATTCTAAATTAAGTGTGCTCGTGGGCAGGGCAGCTGAATCCTTGTAAGTGCCTCTCATTTTAAATTACACTTATTTTCTCAATTCTCAAACTTTGTCCGCGTTAGCTTGTAGTATACCCTCCTATTTTTTGTCAATCGTTCTGCGCCCAAGTGGATCATTGGGGGTTCATAGCGCTGTGAACACGCGGTAGAGGTGAGCTGCAAGTGCCGGTGTAGCGCGAGTGATATTCTTTGCCCGGCGGGGCCGAACGGGGGGAGCACCTCTCATAGCATGATGTGCCCCCCCGATCTGCCACCATACTGCCAAGGGGCATCACGGTAAGGGTGTCCTCTGTATAAGTCGCCCGCGCGTCAGAAATGGGAAACCCTCCGCCAACTGGGGTGTATCACTCGTTCTTGCCAAAGGTATCTTCGGTTCATCTTTGCCGTCGTGGTTCACGTAAGCCACTATGGGCTACCCTTTGACCCATGGAAAGCAAGGTTCACTTGGCGAAAAATAATGGTCCCCTTTTTTCACAGAAAGTTCTTCTAACTTTCTTCTCTTTTAGTAGAAAGTTCTTCTAACTTTCTCCCCTTTGCTTTTCGAATTCGTCATAGATTTTTTTAGTGCAATCTTAGAATGAGAGGTAACGTGCGGCGTTTAGAATACGTTAAGCGTATGTGTGTGAGATAACATGCGATTAGTATTAAGATAATGTACGTGTGTGCGTGTGTGATACAAGTTCTTTACTGGATTGTGGTAAAGTACTTGTATATGCGAGCCTTCGAGCTAAGTAGAGTCGGAACTCATTTATCCTTCCGATAAATGAGCGATTTGTAAATGGAGGGTGGTAGGGATTTGGAGTTAGGGTGGGTCACTGTCGTAGCAACCTCCTCGTGGTGTGACCTGGTAATCGATATCGTTTTCTTAACATTTTTATAAAAATGAACTTTAGAAAACAATATCGAGCTAGTAGCTACGAAATAAATTATAATTTCATTTGTTCCTCATTTTCTTTTATGAAAATGTTTGGATTAAGAAGATTGTAAGTTCTATACTCATCAAAATCTATAAGATTTTACGAATCTTATAATAAAATGCAAAACTAGATAATAGCAGATAAGACGGAAACCACAGAGTGAACCAGAGGCGACAATCTCAGCACCTTTAATCTAAGAATTGTTTAATTTGGATAATAATTTCGTAAAGTCACTAAAATCCATAATAATTCTACTTTTTTTAAATGCAACAAGTGGGACCAGTTTTTGGAACTGTAATTTCATTAGTTTCCACATACTGTCGCTATATGGCGCCGCGCGTATCCTTCTTGGTGCAATTAATATAATTGATTTTATTGCCTTAATTGACTATAATATGAATTGAATTACATCGATATGCAAGACCAGTTAACTTTGAATTGTTTTGACATAAGTTTTGTCAATTTTTAACCATTCTAATCTTAATTACCTTAAGAGTTTTTCTTACGTGTTGCCATCTAGCGGTAGAAGATGAGAACTAATTATATTACGGTTTCAAACTCGTGTAGTTCACCCTGTTCGCTGAAGAGATGGCGTCACTTATTCAATTTTTATAAACATTCAATTAACTTTGATTTTATTGATTTAATTAACTTCAATTTGCATGAAGTTACATCGGAATGCAAGACTAATCGTCATAGTTTATTATCGCATTAAAATTTCAAGTTACTTACTAAGTTTATTTAGATATGCATTAATTATGTTTCACGTAGGAGTTCAATACTATAATTATTTCGATTTCATATTCAAGGATAATGTCGTTTTTTGGTACACTAGCAACAAAGTCCTTAACTCTGTTTTTACTTGTTTTGTGGGTGAAATCAACAAGTGCAACGAAGCAGTACTTGTTCCGCTTCTTGCAACGATAACATCAAATTGGGTTTAAATATCGACTTGCTCTTGATCGAGTCCTTTAATCTTTGAAGAAAATCTTTTGAAGTAATACGTTCCTTAAGTTGAAATCGACAATATACTGTCGGCACTGAACTGAAGGAAAGTTAGGTTTTATATTTGTACTATTATAATATATCTATAATATTGTTGTAGATATTTTATATAACATCTATTATTTCGTTATACTATATTATAAAATACTTATCAAGTTATTTTATTCAAAAGTACTATAAATGTTAAAATATAATTTTCTGACCGTCTAAAGTTATGAATATTTAGTAAAAAATAATTTATTTTTAATGTTAAACAAAATTACTCAGACGTAGTTCTTCGAATAGAGATTAAAATAATGTGAAATCAATAAAGTTTAAAAAGGGCTATTTTTTATTGAAATGTAATTAAACATAAGAATATTAATGTAATATTATTTATGTCATTTTTCGTCTGTATTATCTGAGAATTATGACAAAAGTAATAACGACTCTACAGGATTACATGATAGCATAATTCATGTTTCCAAGATAATAGACATGTATTATGTTGATCACGACTACGAATTCCTCTATCAAATCATGTATTCATTTGCGATGGATGCTTACGTGTGTAAAATGTCACGCATCAAGTGCAATGATCAATGCATTTCCGTTTTCCGGATGAAGCTGTTTAAACCTTAAATTGTTTCGTGACGTTGCTCCTAACCAAATGATTTTACGGAAACCGAACAAAAGTGTGTATAATAATTAACGGAAATTACCATGATTGTATATATGATCAATGTTTTACGTAACAGTATTCTTTAAATGTACATTATCAAAATTATTGAATCGTCTCGAAAAAATTCAAATGGAATTTTTCCATTGCAAACTGGAAGACTGTAAAAATTACAATGGAATCACCCCAACTTGTCACGTTAACTAATTTTACATTTACTTTGGCATAATTAATTATCGTGTGATCACTTACTATTTTTAATAACATCGAGTTTCAATGTTCTAAACCGATAATATTGCGTAATGGAACATTTAGCGCTTATGACGTGATTAAGTATTTTATTTTGTGAATATGTGATTAGACATTTAACGATATCGCTAATTTTTACATTCTGTGCTGACATAATATTCTTGTTGATTGACTATGTTATAACATAATCGGAAACGTAATGATATCTCATAGTTGGACATTTAATATTGACTATTTCGCTTAATAAGACATTTAGCGTTGATTGAACAGGTGATATCGTATTATCGGTAATTTTGAGTTGATCAAGAGATATGAAATGATTGACCATCTATCGTTGCCAATCAAATACACATATCAGCATCGAACAAGATAACCATTTGCATACAGAAAGTGCTGTTTAAAATTATATTCGTGAAAAGTAGCAGTGAACTCAAGTTGACATAAAAATGCATCGATTTATTTGTTTATTTTATCGAACCGTGAATGTCATTGCACCTACTGGTTGTATGTAGGTGACATCGATAACAGGGTACCTCCGTTTTCAGCGATCATTTTATTAGAACCCGGTTACAGACATACTTCGCTATGTATAAAACAGTATACTAGAATCAACTATAGTGTCATTCTGGCGTGGACCGCTTGAGCAGAAGGTCAGTTCATTCTTCGGACACGAATAACGTATCACTGGTGTTCGACTGTATTAGCATTAAACAGGCTTCAGTTCTTCCTTTCTTCTCGATCGCTGCGGTTCTACCTTGCGGACCTACCAGATTCGAAGGTGAAATCAAGGTAAAGGAGACAGATTGACAGAGAAAAAGTACTTTATAATTCTGACAAAATGTTTCTGTGTCATTTCCATATTTTTATTACGAAATTGATCCTTTGATTATACATGAATATACAATATTCAGATTTAATTATACATTTTTGCTTGATCAAAATTGCTTCGGAATATTCATGTTTATAATTTAGTATGAATATGTAATATTCATAGCTTACATTTTTATTTTGGCGTTTCTTGTATTTGTATTTTTTGTATAGTTTGTTTTAAAAAGAGAGTTGAAAAAAGACAAAATTTGAGTGGACAGTCACAGTGAAAGTGAACATTAATTGTCCAAGAATTACTTCATGATATTGATATAATATTAGTACTACCTGCAGTTTTTTGTCAATAATTGTTCTTGGTTAAACAATCTAAATTTAAATTATAAGATTGTAGTGTCAGTTCAAGAATTTACGTAATAAACGTGTTAAAATTAAGTCGAGTATTAAAAGCCGTTCCAGAAACATTCCAGGTTTCTGAGCAGCGAATTCAAGAAGTAGAGTACAGTTACATCCCCAGGGCATCTGGCTAAATGTTTCGTAATGCAGATTTAATTCTGAAGTATTAATAGATGTTCGATCCTAAAACGGTACTTTTTAATCAATTCCTTATACAGAGTTGCATCTGTGTATCATGATTTGTACATGTTCGTAGAAGTTGCATTAAAAAATGGAGCGAAAAAAACAGTGTAAACAGTATCCCATTTTTCTCGCAATACGATGTTATATTCCACGAGTAAAAATGAGAGGAAAATATATTATAATTAAAGTAGGACAAGTTTAATGCTCATGAAAAATTAATTTACATTTTTTAGTCGAATGAAAAAGAAAACTGAGAAAGATGTGGAATGCGTGTAAAAGCATAAAATTGATTTATTTTCATTATAAATAGTCCATGTAAAGAGTAAATATTTTATTAAATGTTACAAAATGTGTCTACTTTTTATTTCATCGATTATGTATTACGAATAGCAATGATGAAATACATCACATCAACTATGGGGTAATACAAATCACCAGATATTGCGTCAGTGGATTGTTCGTGGAGAATTTTGAAAGAAAAAGTTTACGGCATAGAAATTAATGTACGTTCTGTATATCATTATAATGCACATAATAAAAATGTTGTGGTAGTCTTGCATTATGTAATAAAACAAAAACGTAAATTGATGTTCAGGTACCACATGAATGGTAGTACGTTTTTTGAATATTTAAACCGACATCTAAACCGGTTTTTGCATTACAAAACTATTGGAATATATAGAGGTATTTATGTGTACAATGCTATAGTAACAGTTTATTGAAAGGTAATGGCACATTTGAGAAATGGGTATTTAAATTGCTATATTGTGTCTGAACTGAGATACACATTTTGGTGCTTTGTGTTTGTGATGATAATTAATTAAAAACTTGTCATGATTCATTCTTTTCAGAATTATTCTGAAGGTTGTTGTAGCAAATGTAAAGGAGAATTACTGATTTGGATATGAAAAGTTAATTGTTAAGAATATAGCAGAATGTTTAATAAATGTTGTTCGATTTCTGTAAATAAATTGTATATCTTGATATATGTATATGTTGCAATATTTTGAAGGCAATAAAGTATACATATATTGCAAAATATATTATAAATGTATTAAACAATATAAATTAATATCGTCATATTTTCTTGCAAAGTAAAATTTGTTCTGACTTAATTATAATCATGTTAATTGTTATAATCATAATAATTGATTTTAAACATTTTGAAGTATGATTTCAATATTATTTAATATCAAAAAATGTTCTTGTATTTTCTTACAGATATGCGGTGCTTATTACTGGTCGCGCTTTTTGCGGTGGCAAATTGTCACGATTTTAACACAGTTCGTTCATGGAACTATGTCGATTTCAATTTTGCAAATGAATCCGTCCGAAATGCGCTAATATCCTGCGGAGAATACATTCCTGAAAATAATATGCCTCTTGGGATGCAAGTTTGGAACGATAAAATATTTATTACGGTTCCACGATGGAAAAAGGGTGTTATTTCTAACTTAAATTATTTTGCGAAGAATGATCAGTCAGGTAGGTTCAAATTTCAACCTGGATTTTATAATCAGTAAATATTCCTTTTACATAAACTTACTTTGTTGATACAGCTTTAAGAAGACTTTATTATACTTTACTCTTAGTTCGTTTGTCTTTCTCTTGCTAAATCTTGAAGATCCCCATTTTTACAGAATCTCCCAAGTTAATTCCTTATCCCGATTGGCAAATGAATTGCATGAATATGCCAGGTAGCATTGTGAGTATTTTCCGTGTTAAAGTCGACGCTTGTGATCGACTTTGGGGAGTTGATACAGGCGTCAGTGACATTTTAGGCAACTCCACTGTTGTACAGCCACCAAGGATCTTCGTCTTCGACCTCAAAACCGACGAGGTACTTCACTGAATCTGTCTTTATATTCTGTTTTCCTTAATACTGCTTGAATATATAATTCAATTTGTGTTAAATATGGAAATTCAATGTTCTCCATTAACTAATCTATTTAACAATAAAAAAGTCACCATGCTTCTCTTTCACAACTTTTCAACATTTCATTAATGTACACACTTTATTATACATTTACAATATTAATTTCGAATATCAAATTTATGCATCAATCAGTATCAAATTTTACTCAGTGTACTATGGACATCAAATGTTTCATTACACTGTTTATTTCAAGAAGGCGGAAATATTTAATTATAATAAGACATATTTTGTTGCTACAGGTACTCAGAGTATACACTCTAAAAGAATCAGATCAAACACCTAACTCCTTCTTTGCTGACGGGGTTGTGGATGTTGATCCAAACGATTGCAACAATGCTCATTTCTATATTTCTGATTTGGGAGGGTACGGTATAGTAGTTTATAGTTGGGCCAAGAACGACTCCTGGAGAATTACGCATAGCTATTTCCATTTCGATCCTCTGAATGGTGAGATATTTTAATAATTTATTCGTCACATGTGTTTTTTACCAAAAAGTAATCGGCTATTAGAAAAAGAGTCTGAAATACTTTGTAAATTATAAAAATAGTAAGTTCAATGATGACCAAACCATATTACATTATCAAAGATAGGTTTTCACTTTGATAAATAATTTTACTGTAATTGATTATAATATGAACAATATATAATGAAGTATAAGTGAAGCTTAATATATTATCGCAAGTGGTATTCTCCTTTTTACTAACCACTTCATTCAATTTCTTTATTTTGACTTTCTTCTTACATAAATCGTATAATTTAATTGCAGTATATTTCTTTCAAGAAATGCGTTTAACTTATTACAATTGCATTTCTTTCAGGTGACTACAATATCAGTGGATACAATTTCCAATGGAACGATGGTGTGTTCGGCTTATCTTTGTCCGCACCACGAAACGATGGTTACAAAACTTTATATTTCCATGCGATGTCTGGTATCACCGAGTTTTCTGTGTCCACCGAAGTCCTGCAGGACGACACGTTAAATAAATCGAGCGATTACCATGCTTTCCGCGTCGAAGGTGGAAAGGGGTTGAATTCTCAGGGACCCACATCGTTGATCGATACAAAAACTGGTATTGATTATTTTACCCAAGTGAGCAAGAACGGTATAGCTTGTTGGGACACCAGTGTACCGCTGGATCAGGATTCATTTAGTAAGCAACAATTTTTAGTAATTAATGATTTTAGTAATTTCTTAAAATTAATACCGGTTACTGGCTCTTCGAATTTAATGCAATCGAATAGTTATACAAAGTAATCATTTGATGACGTTACTATGATAGTCATGATTTAAGATGACAAATAAAATAGAGAGACTTCATTGGAAAATCTAACAGATTATAGAATTTATGTATATTTCCAATTCTTTGTATAGGCCAATTTTCACTGTGAAATTATATTAATAAGTAGAAAAGAGAATTTATTTATTTGCACATATAAAAATATCAGTGTTAGGAGTATTTTAATCATTACCATTTTTCAAGCTGAAAATAATTACGAGTTAAGTGAAAATATTTCTCATAACAGTGAATCATTTTGTCTGACTATTTGTTCGTTTTCCATTAACATAAAATCGTAGTGAATATGAGAACTTCTGAGAATATCAAGCAAATATAATAAACTGATATTTATATTAATTGTTTCGAGGTATTTTCCCATAATTATGACACGTAAGATGTATTAATAGTATTTACAGAAATAGTGTATAATCATGTTCAGTACATTTGCTAGTACCAAACAATGGACAATCAATCTTATCTTTTTCAATGATTACAATGATTATACAATATCTGTCACCATTCAACTATCGTTACGCCTATTACAACACGTGACGTCAGATTTCGCTATATTCAGTTTGTTCGTTAGAAATATTTACGATTTCTTTCGTGGAAGACTGTACCTAACTTATATTTCATGTTTTACGAATCGATTCTTATGTAATGCGGTTCTAAGAAATCTTGAAGACATTTAGTAAAGAACAGCAGTAATTCCACGGATTAATCAATTGTTCTTTTACAGTTCTCGCAGCTCAAGACAACACGACGTTGGTCTTCCCGAACGATATGTCCATCGATCCATCATCCAACACGCTATACGTGCTTTCCGATAATTTACCGCAATTTTTGTTCTCGGATTATGATTCCAAGAAGCGTAATTTCTTCCTGACGATGGCCAATCTTGACTCTTTGACGTCTGTCTGCAAGAAAAGGAACTCTAACACGAGATGAATCCGAGATACTTCAATGACACTTCCATTTTGAAAAACTTTGCATTTTGAACACACTTTATGGACTATCACATTTGTAACACTTATATACATTTTTGAGCATTTCACTCGTTTCTTCTTTCTTCCATTTTGAGAGGTTAAATATGTAAGCAGTCTGAATTTGAAAACCTGAAAGTTTGACGTTTAATTGTAAAAATGACAACTCTTTTTTAAATAATACCTTTATACATCAATGTCTCTGCAATTATCCTGATGGCCTAAATGGAAATAAACAAGTTTTTAACATTCTCATAATTTGTTTTATTTGTGAAGAATGATTTTATTAGATTCTTCGGTATCTACTTTTATTTGTACACAGCAGTTATACAAAAGATTGTTTAAATGAATACGTGAACACCTTATACAATATAATAGTTATGAAAGTTAACAGGACTCAAGTTAAAATTTTTCGTCTTTTACAGTCGTGTTCTTATTTACAAGTACTTTTCTAAGTCAACATTTCATGAATATCTCGTTGAAACTTTTTGCGTGAAATCTGTAAGGTTATTTAGATACATTTTTCTATCGATTTCGGTATTATAATTAGTACAAAAAATTATGAATAATTTCAAAGTTTCAGAAATCTTCCGCGAATAAAAATGTTATAGAAAAAAGTGGTTCTTTAAAAAAGATTCCCAGTTTCTTGAAAAACTAAGATGTTTAAATATGACCTTCCAGATTCCTCACCTTGTAATACACGTATTTTACATCAATGATCGAATGAAATTATTTGATAAAAAATAGAAAACAAAGCAGGTATGTAATGCTGGATCAACAGGATAAATTCGAGTGTTATAATTTATGTATAATGGAAAGTTATTCTTAGTCGTAAATGAAGTCACTTTTTAACATCACTCGCCTTGGTCCCAATCTCACTATAATCATGCACTTATTATTATGAAAACTGTAATGCGGTATGATACATTGTCAATAACATCTTAATCACAGGATACTACACGTTTTCGACTGTAATCATAAAAGTAAAACGAGTTATTACCATGTTTTACTTATTTTAGTTTATAAATATGGACGTTATGTTTACCTTGGGTTTGTGGCTAACTGCACCTGCGGTTTTTGTGCCATTTTCAGTTGCTTGCGGTTTCTTCGCTTTAAACATCTTCGATATTCTACCTGTTAATGGAAATCATTATTCAAAAGTTGTCAATAATTTTCAAAGTTCTGAGGAAGATATTTATTAATCCCCCTTTTCATGAAGATTTACAGGGTGTTTAAAAAAATGCGTACGATGAACTTTGCTTATAAAACGAGACTAAAGAAATTGAAGTTCTTCCATATTGTGTAATTTGATAATCTGTATTATACTTATACTTTTATCTGTATTATATTTTTATTCTACTCGAATGAAAATAAAAATTGAATAATCGAACAGAGGGAAACTTTTGTTGACTTCAGTCAGTTGTACGAATATCTTTTTTGTAACACCCTGTACGATATTTTACATAACTTCTTTGGCCTGATTTCACATGGTCAATTTCGCTACGTGCAAGGTGTTCCAGTAATTGAGGTATGATGAAAAATAAGTTCATCTCATTTACAAAAATTAAAATTTACAAAAGAAAGTTAAGTTTGATCATTTCTTTTTAAATATTTGCAAACTTTTTCAATTAATATAATTTAATTCTATATACTTAAACACATTCAAATTTTAAAATTTGTACATTCTGAAATTCTCAGATTTCTACATTTCCAAATTCATTTTCACCTGTGCAAATTTCTCAATTTGAAAATTTCTAAATGTGTAAATGTATAAGCTTGGAAGTTAAAAAATTTGTCAATCAGAAAGCATGAATCTTTTATCAATTATAAAAATTCTTTCGTACCCGTTTTAGGAGGCGGTGACTGTACAACATCAGCATCATCTTGCGCATTGTCAGCGTTCGTCCTCTCCTCATCAACAATTTTTTCCTTGTCATCCTGCTTATCGATTTCTATTGTATCCTCTGCATCGGCTATCGATCTCCTCGACTTCGAACTTTTGCTTTTCGCCGAGGATTTCATCGAATTCGACTCCTGTTTCTTCGACTCATCCTCCTTTGTTTCTTCCTCCTTATCTAAACTATCTTCTTTCCTCTCTCCGTTTTCCACGTCCTTGTTTTCATTTTCCTTTTCCTTTTCCGATGTTCTCTCATCGGAGCTTGCACTTCCGGGCTTCAGTCTCGGTGGTTTTGGCGGCGGTGTCGCAATCGGAGACATTTGTTTCTCAGAACTTTTTTCCTTGTCACCATCGGTATTCGATTCTGTTTTTTCGTTCATCGCTTCTGATTTTTCATTCTCGTCATTGCTTTGCTTATTATCTGTCTCACTGTCTTTCTCAGTATTTTCCGTGTGATTCTCCTCGTCATTTTTCGACGCTTCGTTTGTCACTTCGTTATTGTTCTCCTTGTTAGTTTGTTCATTGTTTGTTTCAGACGCATTCTCTTTGATATTGTTCTCTGCATCCACCTTCGGCTCCACTTTCTCATTGTCATTTGTTAATTCGTGCTTTTCGTTTTGTTCTTTCGATTCTTGGGATTCTTCTGCGGCCACCGACGCTTCGTCCTGTGCAATTTCCGACTCCATTTTGTCCACTATGGTGTCCGGTGTCTTTTGTGATGCGCTATGCGAAGACTCTTGCGGACTGTCTACTTTTTCGACGTTATTCATGGAATCTCTAGCATTGTCCGTCGTATTTTCTTCGTTATTTGTCTCATTGTCTAATTGTGCTTCTATCATTGGCGGAAGAGCTGGTTTCTCTGGATTTATTTGCGCTTTTACTGTGTCGGTCGTGTTCTCCTCGTGAGGATCTGTATGCAATTTATTTACAGGAAGCTTTAAGGGTGGAAGAGAATTCCTCTTCTGCATGTGTTCCTGTATTGTACACAAAAATTTGTTAACTACGAAATAGTTATGTTCTTCTTTAAGGTATCTAATAACTATTTTAATTTTAAAGTTCCCTGAATATTAATTATAAATATATATCACAAAATGTATTAACATCCATTCTAACAGCACCTATAAACAATGAAATTTTGCGAGTGATGAAAAATTGAATATTTCAATTTAGTTATTCATAACCAACTTATACATTATATAACGCATTACTCGTGTGTAATGTATATGTAATGGTAGAAATATAAAATATAAAACTAGTCTGGGACGATCAATCTTATTTGTCCTTGCATGAAATTTCACTTTTATAGACACGTGGTATTAGAATAGATATAAACTTATTATATTTATTATTATAATCTTATACAAATTATTGTTCATGAAACAATTAACTTTAAATCACCGTTTGTGAAATTTCTCTCGCCGTATGATTTCCTTCCATTTCGCGCCTTTGGCCAAGCAAAATTGTGTGACAGCCACCACATGCCACCTACACGATCAATAAAACAACGATATTTTGAAATCAAAATCAAACATATAGAATATGTACAATATGTGTATGAAACAAATCAGTTATATTTACCTTCGATACAAACAGTTCTTTATATCGTTGAACAAAGGTTAATTCATGAACGTTGTTTTCATTTTCCTCCAACCCCAGTTTTCCGTGTCTTCCATCCCCACACGTGAAAAGCTTTCCAGATTCTGTTATGAAAAATCAGCGTTGCAAAAAGAAAAAAGTCACGATACCAAAATTGCTTTCGTAATTGCTTATAATCAATGTCATTTGCCATTTTACATGTACTATGTTACCTATATTAATTAACAATTTATAAAAGTAGTATTCCACTACATATATAAAAACAATTAATGAATATTGTAAAAAATTGTGTAATAGTAAGATTCAGTTTAGAACAAGTTGTTGTTCTTCCAAATTTAATTTATAATAACCAATAAAACAAAATTAATATAATAACGAAATGTAATAACAAACAAAGTTTATAACAAACTGTACCAGTAACAATGGCTGTGTGACTTTCTCCACAAGAAATCCGACTGATTGTTTCATTTTGTAACATGCCACGTGACAGAAGTTTTGGAGTGTGAAGTTCTGTGACGTTTGTTCCTAAACCAAGCTGTCCATTCGAATTGCTTCCGGTGCAGTAGATGTTCCCGTTCTCTGTAAGTCACAGAAGAAATTGTAAAAATGTGCTGCGTTTTTAGCGATGGATCTTTCGATATAATCGCCGTAGGTGTATAATGATGCGACTGCAAAAAAGTGTTTCTTCTGAAGGCGAAGAAAATTTCATTGAGTAAAACTTGTAACTACATAACGGAGAAGATATTTTCTTGTGGTAAATGACGATGCTTGCATTTTCTAGTTACTTTCTAGTTTTAAGAATTCGCGGCGTAACACGCAATCTTATTGTTATGTATTATAATAATCAATGATAAATATTTCAGTAACGAATATCATTTAATGACTAGGAAATTATTAAAATTATCGAAATTATTGTAGATGCAAGACTTTTATGATTCAAAGAGCAAATGCAGGTTTACCAGTTACTATATATATAAATAAAAATTTGCAAATTCGTTGCATCATTATTTTGATCGAAAAAAGGGTAATTAGCGCAAGAAAAATTCATTTGAACCCACCCGCTAAAACAACCGTGTGATGACCACCGCATGCTACGTGAACAGCTGGGCTGGGTAATTGCATTTGCTTCGGGGTAATTTGCGTAGAAAAATTGACATCGATTCCCAATTTTCCACTTTCCGACTCACCACAGATGTAAACCAGACCGCTTTCTAAAAATATAATTTCACGTTTCGAACTTGATAACTCGATAATTTATAAGTTTGGGCATTTCGACATTTTTTGACCTGTGAATTTAGGAGTTTGGTGATTTTTGAGACTTAGAAATTTGGGAAATTTGAGAAGTTTAGGAAATTTAGGAAATTTTAGAAATTTGGGAAATTTGTGAAATTTGTGAAATTTGTGAAATTTAGGAAATTCGGGAAACTAGAATTTTAAGAAATTTAGAGTTTGGGGAATTTAAGAAATTTAGAATTTGGGAGATCTGAGAATGTTTATAATACTCTGAAAATTATTACAGTATCAATGGATTATGCCTTATCTACTTACCTGTCAGAAATGCAGAATGATAGTACCCAGCGCTAATTTGTTTGACAGGTTCAGGAATATGGACCTTCGTCGGTTTATTAACCAAACCAGAGACATCCGGGAGACCCAATTGTCCTTCGAGGTTGCTGCCCCATGCAAACACCCCACCGTCGCTGATAAGGGCGAGAGAATGATGAGAACCGGCGGCAAGTTGAAGTATCTTTGACCCAGCCAATCCTGCATCGTACACCAATACTGGAGAACTTGAAGAATCACCTATCGCCGATGTTCCTCGACCTAGTTGGCCTTCTTGATCGCTGCCACAAGCAAAAATCTTTTGCGCTCCTATAACCACATAGTTTTGTACTGTATCGCCGATGCGTTATATCACCAACGTGTTATATAGTCAATGCGTTTTACTCTCGACACATTATATCGATAGAGCGTTGTGTCACTAATGTGTTGTGTTGCCAACGTATTATACAAGGTGTCACAACTAGTGTAGGTCCCTGAAATGGGGGTAGCTGAATGTATTTTATCATTAACGCATGGTATTGTTAAGTGATTATATCACCAACGTGATATGTCGTCAACGAGTCATATTTTCACATATTTTGTTAACAAGGCTTTTACAATTTTTTCGACTCTTATAGCCATCAGTGACAGTGTAATAAAAGTCCACTACCCATCAATATGTATAGTAGAATTTTTTATTAAGAATTATTATTTATTAAAAATGTTCGAATTTTTATTAAGAATGTTCGCTATTATAGCACTTAGAAATTAGAATAAAAACGTTTGAAGGGTACAAAGTTTTTTACCGACACTTAGACGGAATAGTTATTAATGATCCGAGAGATTGTAGAGTGATTAGAGTGCTAAAATTGAAACGGCATTAAAATAATTAGTGGTGAAAAATAAGGTTGACGCGAGAATACACGTTATGAGGACAGATAAAATCTTTGAAGTGAGAAGCGTGATCGGGGACATGCTTAAAATGTAACCGATGATTTTCCTGCTTCAAAAGTAACGTTATCCGATCTGGAATCTTATCGTTCGAAATGTTTTGGTATTCAAGCTACGAATTCGCAAACACGACTAGGTTATAGACATTTACGAAAGTGCCTGTAATAAATCAAACGTTATCATAAATTTAACGGTGGCACTTCAAAAGAATAGAAGCAGAAATATGGAAATTTATTTTTGTGATTTGGACAAATCCTACGAACAGCCTTTTCTTTGGACGACAGAAAATATATCGATCGTAGGATTTATTTATAAGGTACGAGTTGAATGAACGACGCGATAACAAGGTTCTTGTAACATTATGCTAATTACGTGACTGTATTTAAGATGGTTTTTCGATATATATGGAATAAATGAAGGATTACCTGTGGAAATTAGTGTGTGTGCGCGCCCACATGCGACATGTGTGACCTTTTCCGGCTTCAGCACTGAAAATTAATAGGTTCTATGAGAACGCATAGCAGAACGTGATGGGCATGAATTTGTTCTTAGTCAAATGGAGTCAAATAGAAGTACAAGAAAATAAATATCAGGTTATTTTATAATTAACACGTTCCGTGCCACGTGTACCACCGGTGGTACACGGTAAACTTGATCGTCAGGCCACGTGTACCACCGGTGGTACACACAGTCATATTTATTCAATGCGTTGAAAACATATATTTTATTACAAATATAATTCTGTAAACTATATTTCTACCTAAAAAATGAAGTATTATACAAGATGCAGTATAGAACAAAAGAAAAAAAGAATTACTTATGTATTGAGGATGTAATGAAATATTGTGTGATAATATATTAATCTTTAGTCAAAATATTAAATGTCCTGAACGACAAGTCAGGCAAAAATGGCTTGGCACGGAACGTGTTAAAGGATTAATACTAAACCTACCAGTGTGTAATACACGTTTACTCACTTACATTAAAAATAAATAAGCAAATGATAAAATATAAATTAATATACATGTTAATTCTTCACCTTCATGAAGATTAGCAAAGATTCTAAAGAAATTGTCTTAATAAATTTTGTAAGTAAAAATGAAAAACTTGTAAGAGAGTCATTTGACCTTACTGGTAGCTTTAGCGTTAAAATAACGACATACAATTTTAGCAAACAATGGTTAATGTTTTTACAACTAATCAGGATAATCATTTCTTTTAATTAGGTATAACTAGGTATGTCTGAAAACGAAATTACTATGGAATAACTTAAAATCATCTTACTTAAAATAATTCAACGACGAAGAAATCTTTTAATAAAATTGAATTTCTAATTTGAAATTCTTCACATTTTTTTTTGGTAAATGTAAGAAATTCTTATAGATTAAGATTCTTAAAGAAGTAAAATTGTAAGAATATGAACCTTTTACGCAAGACGGTTTACTAATGTGGTTTCTATGGCCCAGACCGAGCTGACCCCAATCATTGCTTCCAAAGACGAACAGTCTACCGCTTTCTGAAAGCAATAAAAATGATATTTTCCTAAACTATAAATTCATCCTTTATTACTATTTACTTTACTACAAATATTTTACGTAATATTTCAAAACTCTGATATTTCATCAGCTGTTAAAAATGTATATCCACGTTTACAGAATTTATCAAAAAATATTAAACTGCATTTAAAAGTGTACAAATTCAAGTGTATCAAATACACACAATTATTTTATACTGAACTCAGAATTTTTACTGAGAAATAAATATCTAGAAACTTAATATTTTTAATTGCACATAGATAATTCACTAAATAGGTAATAAGATAAATGATAAAGGAACATTACTTGTACATTAAAAATCGATATAATATATGGCCTGCATGTCATCAGGTCATTTCAAAAGTCCTTGTTTATTTTTATATTCCAAAGACTGTCACCTTGTTTCTGTATCTAGTAATTATTTCAGTCTTCAACGTGCATCTATAACGAATAATTAAAATTTTTAGAACAACGTGAACGAGGTGTACATAAAGTATTTCCTTCATGAATATAACAAAGGTGCAAATGCAAATTAGGCCATTGAAAACACGAATCCATATATGAAATCTGAATTTTGAGGAAGAACCTTCGAACATTTTTATCTCAAAACGAAAAAGGTAAAAATAAACAAGAGAAGTCGTACAAAAAAAATACATTTATTTATTTATATTTATGTAGTTTTCATTCTAAAATAGTTAAACTCTTGTGAAACGACCTGATTTGTTTCTAAGCTACGTGATTAAGGATTTACAGTAGTTTAGTGTTAAAATTGCAGGAATCGAGAATTCTGTGAAATATGCGGTTGTCAAAGTGTTAATAAACGCTTATATGACTCACTGGAACAAATAATACCGACAAAATATTCCATTCAAGGAAAAAGAAAGCTCATACTGTTCATATATAATAGTTTCTGGAACTGTTGATAATAACAATATGTCCACCCTGCTCGTATAGTTATGTATGTTTCGTGCTAGAACATTGCGTGGTCATATCGATTTACCGGACAGTGGCTATCCTCTGTGAAAGCATAGGTCGACTATAATTTCTTCGCGAATCGTGATACAGAAGCTGTAAATCATGTGGGATTCGATCCGTGCTGTTTTGCACAGAAATTGACGGATCGAGCAACGTTTAACTTCATGAATTATTCACGAAAAATTTGTCAACGGATTCGTGTCTTTCGGTTAAATTAGAACTCGAAGCTTGTTCGATGTAAATATGATCAAACATTGACTGAACCGAATTTCCGAATTAATAACTGCTGAATTTGTAGATTTTCAAGTTTTGAAATTTGTAAGATTAGGAAGTTTCAAATTTCCAAATTTTCAAATTTCCAAATTTTTAAATTTCCAAATTCCCAAATTTCCACTTTCCCAAATTCCTGATCTCCCAAATTTCCAAACTTCAGGATTTCCAAATTTTAAAATTTCCAAACTTGGAAGTACCAAATTTCCTAGTCCCAAGTTCCCAAATTCCCAAATTCCCAAATGCCCAAATTCCCAAATTTCCAAATCCCCATATTCTCAAATTCCCAAATTCTCAAATCCCCATATTCTCAAATTTCCAAATTCTCAAATCCCCAATTTCTCAAATCCCCTATTTCTCAAATCCCCAAATTCCCAAATTCCCAAATCCCCAAATTCCCAAATCCCCAAATTCTCAAATTCCCAAAGTCCCAAGTTCCCAAGTCCCCAAGTTCCCAAGTTCCCAAATGCCCAAATGCTCAAATTCCCAAATTCCCAAATTCCTCAATTCCTAAATTCCCAAATTCCCAAATTCCCAAATCTCCAAATTTACAACTTTACAAATCCCCAAATTCTCAAATTACCTAATTCCCAAATTTACAAATTTTCATAAATTCTCACATCTTCTAGAGGAATATAAAAAGATATTACTTTGAATTAATCTTGCGATATTTTGTCGGTATAAAAATGTTGCAAAATGAACGAAGAGGAAGGTATCATGAAATTACGTTGTTCGTTGCCTTTTTATTGACAATAATTATAATGTGGTGCCGTATTTTTAGAGTCTATAAATCACGACATTATCGTAGCTATCGCAACTAAACCTTGTGATATGCGCGAGGCTAAAATGAACCCTGTAAATATTGCCCTGAAGGTAAAAATAAGCTAAAGCTTTAATAGGTGTAATTCTACAGAGATTATACAAAAGCGAGAAGTGAAACAAGAAATACTTTTGGGAGATGTTTGTTTTATAAAGAAAATCAGGTGTTCCAGAAAATCATATTACACCTTCGATATTTCTCTGCTAGGTAAATTCTTGTAGTATTTTCTTAAAGTTACTAGATATTATTAGAAACTTTTCTTGCTTTAAATTATATTATATGAAAACATTATAATTTGTAAGAGACATTGTAATTCTAATTTAAAATTTCAGACGAAGGCATCTCTTTTAACGGGTGGCTTGCAAAGGGAGAAAAGAAAATACTATCTTGTTTCTTTCAAAGTATGACAAAGATTATTTTCTACTTAGAGAAAGTTTCTCTGCCTCTTTTAATTAAATTCATTTCTGTGACAGTGATTTTTGTAATTTCCTGTCATGACCCAAAATCCCCTGCCGCAGGAAAATATCAGAATTCTACATTCATAATTCTGCAAGTTCTACTACCCTTTGTTGTAACCATGAAATTATAGGATGTTCGCACGAGAACTGTGATACAAACACTTAAAATGCACAACCGCGTGTGACATCATTGAAACATCTACAGTCATTCATGTGTACACTTATTGATTTCCTTTAGAATCAAGAACAGTCGTGTACAAATCGATTGGGCAACGCATCAGATGTTAACTTAACGTTTAGTGTGTTCTGCGAAAGCGTTTATAGACAACTGATATTATCTTGGGTGTAAAACCGAGCTGAATCGAGTCGTTTTGATTAAAAATTAACAAGGAACGTGTAGGGCGTCACAAAAATCAAGGTACAAGCGGTAGAGTCATAAAAATCTTTCAAAGAAATGATTTCCTTTTTGACTAATTTTTTTGTAGTCCCTCATCTGTTGTGTGACAATTTTTGGGATACACTATAATTATATTTCATGGAAAGTATGATTATTAACAATGATACGTGGCGTAATCGATTCGTAGAACCACTTCATAATTCTTTCGATATTCCTTTGCGTAAACTTTTACAAGTATTATTCAGCTAAAATATTTTTCTTATGTATTGTTTATATTATTGTCCGACACGTATCAGAAGTGTGGATCATAATTGATCTCATTCGACAGTAAATTTGAACAAATACAAGTTTGACCAAAGTACAGTTGTGTGACAAATACTGCAAAGCAATACAATTAACAAATTAATTACTGCTTTTAATTGGTCAATTAATTAAACTACATACAATGGACAATTAAGGTAACATTTACAGTTTGCATAAACTCTCCCAACACTCTTGTTAAATAGAAACAATTTCTCTTGCACACATTTGAAGAGAATATACGATATTCACTCTTCTAATTAATGATTGCTCTATGGTTATTAAGTTTTCCATAATATTTGCACTTTACTTACGACAAATCACAGCGGAATGTTCGTCGCCGCATGTGATGGAGACAACAGGATCTTTTCGGATGAAGAAATGTGAGGCAATGTTGTCTGCGAATCTGCTTCGGCCAACCGTAAACACCGCACCCGATTCTATAAAATAACGTAAATAGTTTTACAACTTTCCGATAAATCTTATATACTTAATGTTAAGCATCCTTAGTATTAACTTAACGCTCAACATTAACTGTAGTACCCTTAAGTACACTAACATCCGCCATATTTGTCTCAGCGCCCACCATGTAGTAGTTTTCTCCTCCAATAATATGTGGTTTAAACATCACATATTTAAATATCTAATAATATGTTTAGTTAAGAAATAATTTTTTCTTTAAAAAAGCTTAAAAATTACAGTAAAGATTTCTAAAATGTGAAAGCTGATTCAAATAGAAACATCGTATCAGAAACGTATACGTGTAATGATTAATTCATACTTTACAGGAATCACAAACACGTTTTCCTTCTAGATGAACGAATTTCATTTCTATTCTTATTTTACGACAAGCTTCGCCGAACGGATCATTTTAATCTCTCGTGCACCGAGCTCTTAGCTTTCCAGACACGACTCGCCAAAAGCAAATTTAGATTCAAGTTATTGCCATAATGGCTCGTTTATCTATGATCAAGTTAAGGAAGGGTTGTTATTTGAATTTTAAATGACCATTTAAAGTTGTTATTGGCTCTGCCGCTCGTATCCAGTCATTTTTACCGAATTGCAAAGGGACCGTGCGTAGGGACTCAAGGATTTTGTTCCTCAATATTTATCTCGCTTCTCCTTAATCGCGCAAACGCCATTTCGTGTCAGATATAAAAAGACGAAACGCAGATTCGTTCTTTGATAACACGTTATCGCGTTAAACCCCTTGAATAAATCATTGAAAATTTAGCGCTTTCGCGTTTTTTCGCTAACCGGTATTGCGAGATGTTAGATACGTTACTGTTCAACTTAAGAAACGATGAAAAGGTAATCTATGTCCATCGCGGTGAATAATTACTGTTAAAGGACGATGTTATCGGTGCTACGAACAAAGTGGAGCCGTGAAATGCGACCTTCGAGCAAAAATTGCATATTGGGGTAAAATGTAGGCTTCCTTTAATTACGAGTGAAACCGATGAAGGGTGAAGGTGCTAGAGGGCACCATGTGCAGTGACAAAATGTCGGAGGATACAAATTTTCGATTTAATTTAAAATTAGAAATCCTAAAAAATTTACTAATATTGAAATTTACATATATGTAAAAAATTTAAACGTGTCCCAGTTTTACTAGACAAAGAAAACTTGCATTCGAGTGTACATACTGAACTTGATCGTAGCTCTAATAACAGATCCACAAGCAGAAACATGATTGCATGGCTTTGAAAGCCACAATCATGTCTCTGCACAGTGAATGAATGTTTAAGAACACATTCGATGATCATGAACATCGCGCAGGGGCTAGAAACCCACGTTAATCAAAGGGGGATGAAAACGTGACTTAATCGTCGAAATGACTAAATCATTGCCGGAGACAAGCTTAGCCGTTTCACCATTGAACGATAATTTTAGTTTCTCGTTTGCAAAGGTCAGTGATGCAGCAACACCGTGTAAATCCTTCGTGGCACTTACGTTTATGTTCTTCTTATCAAAAGTTCAAACGTCCTCCCTTTGCATAATTCATCACACATTCATCTTTCGAGCTGAACGTGTTGTTCTTTATCTACGATGACTTTAATTGCCAATTACGGCATCAGACTACGTTTCGAGGGCTGCACCCGCGAAAATTTACGCATACGGAAAAAACCTTGAACGAGTAACAAAACGATGAATAAGTTAAGCTCTAGGTCAACACATTTGTTACAGAAACTTTCTTAACATTTAAAAGACGGAAAACGGGTCATGGATTTTCATTGAAAATAGCTGTTGGATCAATCGGGCTATTGTACCTGTTACATGTTCGTTTCTATTCAGCGAGAAAATTGACGATCCTTTGTGAGTTTTAATTTTGGACACTTATTATGCAATTGTGATATGATATGACATGTACATCATTTTGCGAGTGAAAATTAATTTTTCAATGACAGTATTAAAGTGAATAAATGACTCAAATTAATTGTTTCTGTGTTTGACAATTCTTCGGTAGTCTACCTGATAATTACAGTGAATATGTGCTAGCTAGATATTGATTTCGATTTTCTTCCCCCGGATAATCTTTGTTCAATTTGCACAGTTTGGCTAACAAACCTTCCTTACACATTTTCAATGCTATTCAAGGGAATGTGTCAGCAACAACTTTTATCCAAAAGTCATCAGATTAAAGCAATGCAAAATTTGAAAAAATTGACCGGGAGCTAAAAAGGTCAGAAATGAACGTAAAAAGTTGCATTTTAAATGTAAAGCAAAAGTGCAGTACTAATTAAGCTGGAGTTACAACATTTTAAATTGGAGTCATAGGTCAACAGGTCGCTGAGATAGATCATTAAAACGTTGACTTGCAAATAGTATGAAATTAAAATAAAAGGAATTAACATGAAACTAACATTTTTTTATGTATTTTGTTGTAAATAATTGATATCAAAGGTTCGTTTAAAAGCATTGTCATATATGGCTGTATTTAATAGATAGGTGTGATGGGTTCGCTAGTATTTATTAAACTTGTGGAATATGTGGAATATGTCCCTGTTTCGAAACGCGACATGCAAGATGGTAAATTCACTGTGCCGATAACATCGATGCGCTCATTTTCTAGTCGTTGCAACTGCGTCAGGTCGTTAACCCGGGGATGCATGGTTTAACAGTCATGAAAACGGATCAAAATATATGCGCCTTCCAATCGGATCAATTGCAATATTTAATTCAATGTCCCGTGAGCAGCTAATCGAATTTTGCAACATGGACACTCTGTCGCGATAACGATACTACTGTGACGACTCGTATCTCGATAATTTTTCAAATCTGACTGTATAATTCGGACTCTCAAAATTTGGGAAAAACATAGCGAAGTCTTTAGAGATATTTACACAATATTACTCTTATTGACGAATGAAAATAAATATGACTGCACATGCCAAAACTTCTCAGTGGAATATCTTGTTTCTCAAAATTATTTATTATTGTCAGTTGGCAAAATATTGTTCAGGGTTATCAAGCTCTTTATCTTCACTACTATATTTTTGAATCGTATATCACATCAAAAGAAAAAAGGAGTTGTTTTATCGTAAACTGCTCAGACTAGTGGTTATTAATTCTACCATAATTATTATTCATACTGTCAGTTAAGCTATTATTATACTTTTAATGATTTCGTCTCACGTTCTTATAGAGACGTTAGTTGCGTGTTACATTTCAGTTCAAATATTTATCTTTCATAAGATAAGGTCTTGCGAAGTAAAGAACGTTTCTTTACTATTTTCAATAATTTATAATAGGGTGGGGGTTTAATTTGCATTCTCAAGAAAGGTTCGGACCGCCTTGATCTTTAAGTAATTACGTCAATGGTGACAGTACATGCAAATCACATTTGTGCACGATAAAAAATAAGAAAGAACGTTTTGAATTTTTGATAGAAATCTAATGTGTTATCTCAATGTTAGCTGAGTTCATAAATGGTTAACTAATAAGTGTGTTGTAATTGTGTTTCTGCATAGTGTATAAGGAGCAGCAATTTTATAACAACAAAAAAATTCCATTGCTTGCATCTACGTCTAAAAATATCGTAACAAACTACGCGATTGAGAATAGTAGGTGCTGTAAAGACGTGTAAAGCAATGTACATAGAATTTGTGTTATAGTTTGTGAGAAAATATCGAGAGAAATGTCACTTTCTTTTCTAGTTCCATTAAAAGTGATTTCTGATTTGAAACATTTCGCGCTTGAAGATTTTATACAAGGTTAAGTTAATTTGCAAAATTCTTGATTTAAAAGTTTGGGAATTTTTAATTTTTTAAATATCTGAATTTGAAAACTTGAAAGTTCCAAAATTTTAAAAATTGAAACTTGTAATTTGTAAATTTGTCCATTTTGGTCCATTTGCCAATTTATTAGTTTAGAAATCTGTAAATTTGTTCATTCATCAATTTAAGGATTCCTAAGTTTGAAAATTTAAAAAGGAGAAGAAAATGAAAAATTAGGGGGTTGAAAAAAAATAAATGGGACTTATTTCTGCATTAATGAATCAATCTTGTAATGACAAAGTATTCGACACATAATGCAAATAGATACATGAATATAACATTCTGCAATAGTTTATTTCTCTTTTACACAACTAGGTGAAGTTTTATAACTGACTCGTGCCGAAGAACAATTTTCTTGCTACGCATACAGCGACCCCCATTACCGTAAAAACACCAGGAATGAATATAATTACAGATAAATCTATTTTACTCCATCTGCGTAACGTTTGTGCATAACGGATTCATGCTATGTATTTCGTGTGGTAATATATCAGACGCGTGCTCCCATTGTTCTATATTTAAACTGACAGAAACAAAAACGATTTTGCCACTCGTTGAATGCGATATAAACGTTTTATAAAAACTCGCCGTGTTTTGCATAATTTACAACTCGTTAAATAAAAAGTACTTATACTCTAATACACTGTATTACACATCTACTGTTTTTTAAACTTTATGCCACAACTATTAAATCTTAGATCGAAAAAATCACTGAGTTGCTACGTATTTGTTTTAGAAAATTGCACACGTGCAAATAAATTTATACACAGAACACTATATTATCGATCTGAAATCACAATTCTCTGAAAACAAAGTATACAAACATTAAACTTGAAACATACAACTAAATATGTCATGTAATTGTACAACATTGTGAAATAAATAAAATAAAGAAATATTTGAACGATTGTTACAATAGTTACAAAGTCTACATTTGTAATTCCAATAAATTTTAAAACGTTTGATATCTCAAAAGCATCTGAAACTTTTACACAAAATATGATATGCGCTTTCATTTGTAATTTTCGCCCGATACTTTTATTTAGTCATTCAATTATTTTAGAACTGAAAAATATTAAGTTATTAATTAATCAAATGTATCGCAATCATATCAAGTCTCACGCCGGTGTACCGGCACCGTATAAGAAGAAGAACAGCATCCGTATAAGAAAAGAGCTCAATAAAGCATCATCGTTGCCAAAAAAAGAGAGTGTATAATACATAAATGGTGAAATTTCGCGAAAAATTTACCGGGTATCGCTTCCAGGTCTGACAAGCCCATGCTTACACCTTGCGCCACGTAACTTGCCGTCGACTAACTGCCGGTCAAGCATGGCTATCATGGTGGTAACTTAAACTGAACGTTGCCTGGCAACTGGAAATCAATTTCTAATGGCAACCACACGTCGGACTTGTGTGTTCCGACGATAAGAACAGGTTGCAACCAACAGTGTGTTTTCGTGCGGAAATTTAAAAACAACACGAAGCACGTTGTCTTTGGGTTCTCTCGCGTGCCACCGCTTCCGGTTGTCATCCAATATTCAACATTGTTGCATCGATGCACTCGTGATACCGAACAATGGCCAACGTGGTAGGCTCCCCTCGGGAAAACACCGATGTAGGGGAAAGAGATCCTACCACCGGTTTTAACTAGTTTATTAAAGGAAAAGTGGACATCTATTTGGTAAATGAAATGTTTGAAAAAATAAAGAAATTTTCTAATTTTCGAGTTCACTTGATTTTTTAAATCTGTGGTAAAATATGGGTTTTCTCTGTATTCATTCTTGTAATTAATAGAAGGAAGGTTATACTTTAGCTGATTAAATCTTTATTTCTACGTAATAGAAAAAATAGGAATATCGTGTTATCAACTGACTAGTTACTATATGAGGAAATAAAATAATGATAAATTATAAAGAAAATAGAACAATGAAGCGTTAAGCTTGGAATTTTGTTAAGATGAATGCATAGCAGTTGAGGTGCGAAGGGATGAATGTGAGATATATCGATATGAAATGTCCCGCATTCATTGCACGCCCTTTTGTGGGCTTACGGATAGTAGATGGCTTTTCCGAGTGATAAAGGATGGACGAAAATGGTGGTTCTATTTCTTGTAGAAGGCTGGAAAAGATAGGCGCTAAATTTGTGAAATTGATTCTTCCTTCTTCGAAGCTGAGAGATATTTCTCTGCAGGAGCATTCCGATAAGTCTTTTTCGAAATTTGAATGGTGGCATTTGAAAAATATATAGCGTTTAATTAAAGACTTACATAATAAAGTTGAATATTTTTGAAAATGAAAACTGAATAAAAATCAAGATCAGAAAGATAAAAATTATCGATCACAATACTTAATTTCATTTATTTTTTAAATATCAATATTTTTTGTATTAATTTCGTATATTAATGTTCCTACTTTCAACTACTGAAGATATCGTGACTGAAGAAAAATAATAAAAGAACAAAATCAGTAAAAAATAAAAATTTATTAACTTTTAATTTACAATGTTCATACATTGAAATGAAAGTTAGAGGCTATAAAAAAAATCGTAGAAATTACTTTCATTAATGAAAACATTTAATGCTATTTTTATTAAATTATCGAAATTCTTCGCTGCATTAATCTGTTGCAGAATTTGCGCCAGACAGAATGTTTAAAAATACAAATCTAAACAAATATTGATTAAAGTATGCTTTATCGACAAAAGTGTAAGGGGTTTCAAAAGTTCGCGCAGAGTGCACGAGCGTCGCAACGTGCAACAACGCGTGTAAAGTGTTGCTGTCAAATTCGAGAAACAAGTGTTTATTTTTTCTCAAATTTTATTTTTAACAATAAATATATGTCTAATTCCTGTTGAATATATCGCGGAGAATAAATACAGTTATAAACGGTTCGTATGATAACAACTTTATCTCTTATACCAGATCGTATTCTAACCTATATCGAAACGTTTATGCACACGAAACCAGCGTTTTTATCGATTTTAATGATATTTACGCTGATGAAAATCGTAATAATGTTAAGTGACAAATAGGCGAAATTGCACATAATTTTGTATATAAAATTTATAAAGATAATAACGTTCATGGATTATAAAATATTAATTTTCTTCATCACAATATACATAACCTTTATCATTGCTTGATCGAATTGTATTACGTCATTCTTATTTTCTAGACTTTTATTTTGTAAAATGTTATTTACTTGCGACACTTATTTCTTTGCAATAGATTTAATATAACTTAACTGCTATCCTGGCTATTCTTTTCATTTGTACTTAAAATCATATATAACACTGGAAAGGTTAGGATAATATCCTTAATATCAACAAAGTAATCAAAATATGACTAACTGTTCACCTTAGTGTTGATTTATAACAGGTTGTTCTTTTGTTACTTATAATAATATACTAATACGTGCCAAGGGACTTAAAATTGGCAGGAGTTCAACTTCAGTTATTTCAATTAATATTATGTAATTGTATGTTACAGGTTCTACATAGAGTTCGCTGAAACTATTATCGAATCAAAAATTATTGACAATCAAAATGGCTGATTGTCAGGAAACACAGAAAACTGATGATCCCATGAAGCACTATGAATTCGATGGTCAGTCTTATATATACAAAGATCCAGCAAGTAATATAACATATAAGTTTGATCAAGAGAAGAACGAGTGGGTGGAGAAAAAAGATGAAGAGAAAAAGGAAAATGATTCGAGTGCCAATGAAGCCAAACCGCAGGAAGGTGTATTTGGTTTCGAAAATGATACTCACACGTACACTGATCCTAATGATGGCAGTGTATACTTTTGGGATAAGGAGAAGAATGCCTGGTTCCCAAAGGTGAGGTGTGTTTTTTTTATTTGTTTTGAGTTTTTACCACAAGACATCATTCATAAACTGTGTAAGTTTATGCAATTGTTACATGTACGATGGTATAAAATATATATATGAACCATATGATGAAAATAATTAAATAAAAACATATATTTGCATAAAGATTCACAGTATATATTTTTGTATATCGTATGAATTTCTTACTCACATTTATAAATGACCATGCTCCAGGTGGATGATGATTTCATGGCAAGATATCAGATGAGTTATGGATTTACCGATTCAAGCGCGGGAGAAACAAAACCTGCACCAGAGCCTGAAGTTAAAACAAAGGTAGAAAAAGAGAAAAAGAAGGTAGAAGCAAAGAGGAAAGCACAAGATCCACCGACTTGGTTCGAAGTGGACGAGGCACATAACACTGCTATTTATGTGTCTGGTCTACCATTAGACATTACCCTGGACGAACTCACAGAATTGTTCAACAAATGTGGTCTTATCGCTCGAGACGAGAAAGGAAAGGACAAAATCAAGTTGTACAGGGATTCAAATGGACAACCAAAGGGTGATGCTCTTTGTATCTACATAAAGGTAAGTGATTCAAAACATTTATTAATTTTACAAATTTTTTAACAGCTATACGATGTAGTTTCTGTATCAAATTTAATATCAAGTTTGAAGGTAACTTAAAAAAAATTTTTAAGTGAAGTAAAATGTAGATAAAATCTACATTGTATAGCAGAGAACATACATTTAGAGAAAGTACATTTTTTGACAATTATTTGACATACTGTTTTTATTGATGCAATATACATTATGTTAAATACAGAAGAAAAATTTTGATGATATATTGTTGTATTTACAAACAAAACGATGCTAAATGCTGAATCGATATTGATGGTATATTTTAATACAACACAGTTCAGTTGTAAATAAAATCCGTGCATTTTAGATGATATTACACACATATTAATTTCTAAATTCGAGTATTATGATCTACTTAAATACAGATATTTAAAGCACATCGTGCTATTATTCAGAAACATTTGGCTTACAGTAAACATTGTAGTCTTATCAACTTAAGTTCTGCAATATTTCAGCGGTAAAAAAATCTTTTAATTCTATCGTACTTAATTATACAAGGTCGTTAAACTAAAACGTAGAAAATAAAAGTCTTGAAATTTGTATCGACAAGATATATACTAAATAACATGTTAAACATCGAACGCAGTTTTCCGACTTTGTCAAGTAACGTTAATATACATTCAGTACGTTGTTTATTCATAATGAAACGTGCTTGAAAATTTAAGTATAATTACAGCTATCGATATTCAAGCAGTTTGACTATTTGTGATACAATACGCGCTACGATGATTATATTTTAACATTAAATATTCAGATGTCGCGAAAAAAATGTCATCATTAAAAATACCGTCTCGCATAAAAATGTGTTGAAGTAAAATGAAGAGATATTTATGTGAAAATGATTTTTCATCGAGAAAATAAAGTAGATCATTTTTAATAAGTTTGACATTTTAATTAATTTTGATTAGGTATTTGAGAAATTTTCAAATTCATTTTAACCCGGTGGAAAAGTGTTCGGTTCATAAAACCGTGGGTGCTTTTCTATCCTCTTCAATTTTTCATTCAAATTGATTAAAAAGTGAAAATTTCCAATTTGCAATGCGAAAATTAAAAGAGACGATTGTTGGTCGATTTGTTTAATTTTAACTCGAAAAGAAATTTGACAATTTTAGAAAATTCAAACATTTCAGAAGTTGAAATGTTGGAGTTGAAAAATGCAAATAAATGAGTCCAAAATAAAATTTAAACTGTATGAATCATCCATTAATTTAATAATGAAGATTCGTGTTCGGTCAGAAATTTCTCTTCGCAAATATCTTCGAACTTCGTAAATTTACTATGAGGTTAGTTTCGAGAAATTAAATAAATATAAAGTATCAACTAAAAATACCTATACATAGTATATTAACGTGATTATCGAATCGAGGTAACGTTACTAACTAAACAATCATATCATCGAAAATCTAATAGCTACTCAGAGAGAGGAACATGAAGAAATGTTTCGCCAATATTTCGTAAAATGAACGCATGATTTCAGTCTGTGTTCGTAGTTCGAATTTCATTTTCCATTGTACCGAAACAGAATGAAAATTGTCCATTTTAATTGATCGATCAAAAATCATGATAGACAGATCTACAGTTCGATTCGTTGAAACGTTGTACAAAACACATAGAATAGCGAAACGTGCTCGAGATAGAAGTTACAAGTGGTTATGATCGATAACGTTTAAAGCTATCAAATAAAGAGTTCAATTAAATATCTTGATCGTTGGTAGTGCATTTGTTCAAGGTTTTAATAGAACTTCTTCGCTCGCCAATTGTTGGATTTCGTCGTGGTATTTTGGGTAGTTTTTGCTTATGACTGTCAGACTTTGTGGACCATTGACTGGTCCGTCGCCCAAAAATGATCCATATTCTGGTCGATGGTTCACTTGCGACACTTGTGGATAATTTTCTTGAGTTCTATTGGAGTGATGTCGTACTCGATTCCTGGGGTACTCTACTTTCAGGCTGTAATTATATTTGAAATTTTTATTTCATACTTTTAGATTTTTCTTGGTTAGTTTGTACTTTTAGATATCTTCGTTAAATAAAAATATACATACTTCAATGTTATTACTAATTAAAATCTTTCGAATTTAAATTTGTTCTAAAGTTAAAATAATTTGGATAAAAATTTTGTTACGAATGGGTTTGTAAATTACAATTTTTCTACTAATAAAACTTACAGAATTTGGGGAAAATTGTATTTTTTAGAATCAATTAAATTTGAATTGTCAATAAAGAAGGAAATGATTCGTTTTAATATAAATTTTTGACAAAGAGGAACTTATGAGATCTTACTTGGAGGGTGGCCTTGAACCCCATTTAACACCATGCTTCCAATAGTTGTTCGCATTCTGTTCCGCTAAATTTCTCCTCCATGATGGTCGACGTTTGTTCTGTTTGGTCGGCTTATGCGGTTCTTTTGAATACTTCTTGCCCTTCTTTCGGGGCTTTAACCTTTGGTTTTGCGGTGCGAAAGGATCAGTCGTTTTTTTACGTCTTCTCGCTGCGTTTTAAAGAAGACATTATATTCATTATTTCTTTCTTTTTGCGATCACCCACTGAACGGTGGATATGTCAGTTTATTTATGATGCTTGGTCAAAAATTATCCTTGGAACGGAAATCGTAATTGATCAACCCGATAATGAAAACCGTACCTTCTCATACATCTATTTGTATGTAAAAGGCGTGCATACATATGTACTACTTTAGACATGACAATACTTTACACATGCACTATTTTATAATATCAGATATACTCCTACATTTTCAAATTGTAAGTAATTTCTAAATTTTTAGATTTGTAAATGATCGATGAATGAAATTGTTCATGTGGCTGATAAAAATACTGATCAGCAGAAATTGAGGGGTTCAGTGAAAAAGTACCATAGCATTCCATGGGGACTTGGACACAATGTATACTAATAATAAATTTCATATTATGTAATAAACTTAAATTAACCCCTTGTACTATTTTCACTCGTAACGCACTCTCAATTATCATCAATTTTACTCGAACCCTTAATATGCTTCAATTTGGAGTTCAAGTCCAATTATTTGCATACTCAATGATTGATACCTAACTGACATAATATTTCAACTTTCTCTGTCTATCTTAATATTGTATCTGTGATTAGTTACTTCTGATTGATGCATCCAAATAAATCATACAACAAGTGGTTAATATTGTATCTATGATTAGTTACTTCTGTCTGATGCACCTGAATAAATTATACAACAAGGGGTTAATAGATAGCCGAAATATTTTCGACTGTTCAAATTTCACTTCTCGTTTCATCGTATAAATGGGGCGTTAAAAATTTACGTCGACCCAGGTTGCAAATTGAAACCGTTAGTAACGCAATATCGTAAATTTACACGAAAACTACTTTTTTTCATTGGATCATTAAAGTTCGTTAACGGTGCAAAAAAATTAAAAGTCAACGTGGTAGAACTAAAAGTAGATACGCTCTTTTGCACGGAATCCCTCAATTTCGGAATAATTTTACCTAACCGTCCAGCTTGCACCTCGCATATGTAATGTTTCCGTTCGACGCAACTTCGTGGACTCCACTTATATTTTAGGTTGGGGTCGATCGTAATGCAGTGCCAAGCGTACTGTTGTTTCGATTGTTCCGTCTGTGGTTTACCAAAATTTTGGAAAACTACCTTTTCGCCGGTTACTCCCCATTCCCAGCCCATTTGTTGCCAGTTAAATATTCCACCGATCCATCTCTCCAATTTCGCTGAAAAACAGATAATCGTGGTCGAAATGTTACAATACATATTTCCTCGACTAATCTTTAAACCTTCGCGATTAATAAAAAACGATATTACTTATATTTTCATGTGTGATTTTAAAATTTTGTTAGGACGTATGAATCGATCAAGGAGTGGTTCAATTTTTAGCAAAAAAATTTTCCACCAAAGTGAATTCCAATAATCTTATATTTTCAATAATTTACTCTATGAATTCCATTCTACTTTTATCAAATTATTTTCATTTATTTTCACTGTCCATAATACTTTGTCTTCAGACTCATAGTACTTTGTCGATTTGTGTATAATCGACGAGAAGTCTCGTATAAAGGAGCATTAAAGGACAGTGCATCGACGAGATTGAATAATATTATTGCACATTATGCACGGAATGAAATTTTACTTACTGAACTGGTCGCTCATCAAATATTTTCTCAGCATCCTGTCCTTTCCATTTCTATCGAGAATCGCCAAGGTGGCGTTTCTATCTTTGCAATGAAAATATGCCTCCCTCCAGGGTGCTGTACCACCGCTTAGATAATAGCAATATCTTTTCAATCGAAAGAATCCTACGGGACACGCGTAACGTCTTACATTCTCGTTTTGCCGGCCAATCCTTCGCCGGTTCTCCACCGCTGGACTGACTGTGATATTATAAGGCTGTACCACGACAGCTGATATGCCTGAAAAGTTGCAGAAAATATTTCGATATTACATTTATAAATTTATGGCAAGTTGCAATTGAGTTGAATACAGTGTGGCTATACTTGGAAAATTGGTATATATTATTATTTATTTTGATTTCGTATTCTTATGGCGGATTTTTTAAATTTCAGAATTTAGGGAATTTTTATTTTTAGACTTGGATGTTCAAAAATTTTAATTTTTGGAATAGGTTGGAAAATGAAAAAATTTGCAAGTTTAGAAATTTAAAGGAAGTCTAGATCTTTAATTCCAAAGTGAAATTTGAAGCTTTAAAAATTTAGAAATTCAGAGGGATTAGAAATCTAGAGATTGTATCATTTGAGAATGTGGTAATTTGGAAATGTGGAAATCTAGAAAGGTAATTTATTAATTCAAAAATTTAGAAAGCTAAAAATCTAGAAATTTGAAGCTCTTGAAAATTGAAATAATTATAGAAATTAAATCTATTAATTTAACAACCAAGTACCAATTTAAGTAATAAGAATTTTTTCTGTTAATAACCTGTTCTATTAATTTACCCATCTTCACAGAGGAAAAATCATACAAAGAATTTCCTGCAAATTTTCTAAATAACTTCAAATTACCGTGTCCCAAAAATAACGTCGTACCATTCATAATACCAGAAATTTTCGAAATTGATGAACCATGTATTATTCAGCAGAGTACACAACGTAGCGAGTGTGCGACGCGCATTAAACGAATGTCTCGTTCATGCAGTTTTTACTTCTTCGTAAAATAAATATACGCTGCGAATGTAGGTAGGTAGAAATGCACGGCCGTAAATTTATTACGTCATGCGTCTACATACTGCAATATGCAACCAGGCTAAAGTAGTTCAGTGTTACGGTCGTTCTTTCGCGTGCAATAATTTCTTCCACCTCACGGATCTCCTTTTATAGAGACAATTGGAAGAAAACGAATAAAACGTCCTGCGGAGGTCAGGACTCCCAGGACGTTTGATACATGTGGATTCATTTGTACTCTTTGTCCTTGAACGCGTTTTAAGAATTATGTAATTGTGCACGTGCACGTATACGCTTTACGGACGATTAGTTGCAAATGCTTGCATTATGTCGACTCGATTAGTTTGACAAACACGATACTACAAAAGGACGTTAATGATTCATGAAATTGAGAACTGTTACGTTAGACGATGCTAACAATTGTTGGGCAGTCGTGTTTTTATATCTGTGCAAATATTTTGAGAGATAATATTTGGTCTAGAAATCTTTTCCTTAGGATATATACTCCATTTGTGGTCACTTAGGATAGATGCACCATTTGTGCTCATTCTTAAATTATTTCACTTGCAATAGTTTACGTGTACGGCACTTTCTTCTAAGTTTTATTATTTAGTTTGAATTTAATGCATAGGTGTACTATTTTTGATCATTGGATTATTTTCTGATGTATCAAGTATCTTTGAATTATTTTATTTTGGATATTTTGTAGGTATTCAAAATTGTCTCCTATTTTTTATATCAAAAGCTTGAATTTAACTTAGAGGGTAGATTTGTATTTTCCACTGTCTTATTTGTGGCAATTGTGTATGTGAAATTAGTTACTTCTAAATCCTAGTCAGGTACCGTATTTGTTCGTAAACTACTGTAATATTTGAATTAATAATAGCTACTAAGTACATTTATTAACCCTCGAATGGCGGAGTGGGTTTAATCGTAACGTATGTACACTTACGTAACGTACACAATGGTGCTCTTACCCAAATTGAATACTTAATATTTTAAAAGAAAACTTTCATGCATCACAACGTAGTCTATTTAGGTAATGAAAGTGAGAAAGTGTTTCAACTTCATCATTTCTTTTTAGAAATTTTTTGTATAGATTCTTTCCTATAATTTATAAATATATATTCAGTAGCAATTTGTAGATTAATGGTAACAGTTCAAATATTTAAACACAGAATTTTAATTTTAAACTATTCAGCAGCTGGTAATATCAATATCATAGCAGTAATGATAATAACAGAAAGGAATGACTATACTGTTCTAAAACTGAATCATCGTGAACGTTTAAGGTTTTTGCACCACTCTCGAGCGTTAACGCGAATTAAACTTCCGTGTAACGTGAAGAGTTCCTAACCCAGTTCAATGCGTTTGATGTTGTCCGTACTGCGAATCATGAATGATATCATCCGAGAAAGTTACGCGATGCATCGACCACGGCAGTATTGCATTCGTGTATGGTAATTGCTCTGCTGGAAACGTGAAGTGTCGATTACACCGTATATCTTCCTCTTTCGTCGTTTATTGCCTAGCTCAAGGGAATATCTACGCCAGAAAATAGGTTACCAATTGATTCAGCTCTTTTCATGAATTCCATACTGCGTTTAACCACATCTCACTGTTCTATGTTCGTTAAAATCTATTTAGAAAAATAACAGTCTTTCAGTCTTCTCGCTTAATTCAATCACTAAATATCTTCACTCTATTGGACCTTTGATGGTACTCTACAGATATAAGATCTTCACGTGAGTTTAGGGTAGAGATCTTAATAAGCATTATATAATAATTTTTATTAAATATGTCTGGAAAATTTGTATCTTAGCTACTGTGCATTTATGATCAGTTAAGGAAAAGTACGATGGAGATAGTAACCTATTGAGTAATTAGTGTATGTTTATTTTGCAGAGTTTTACATGCAAAAATTTACTGATGAATGTAGGGTATTCCCACTTTATTATTACATAATTCAGTAGGGAAAAAGAACAGAACTTAATTAGATATTATGTTATCATTTCAAAATTGCAAACATTGATTATAGATGTTAAAATCATTTAACATTTTTGCTATCACTTTTTGATAACATTCACGTGTTTGTGTATTTATGAATGCACCGCTTGCGCGTTAAGTTAAGTGAACCAACAGTAATTGTTAATTAACAGACGTATTTCAAAAACCATTTTAATACCTTCCATTTACAGATGTAGTACATTATTAATATTATATTTATTTTATGCACGGCGCCAGTTCGAACGCGTTACTTTAGCAACCATCAGTTCGGGTCATCCGACATTTGTTATCAGAGAAATTTTTATGCGCGTGTTTCGAAATACGCGTCGCTATCTCATTTGAATTTACAACGACCACTAGAAGAACTATTTACGACTAAAGTACGATGTTCTTGACTCGTTCGCGTCAATAACGATTTTCCCCGCGCAACAAAGCCGATTCCCTCAGAATTGAAGTTCACGCGGGAGAACCATACCGGTGGAAATTTGCGCTCGTTGAAAAGCGTACGATGCTCGTTTCCCTCTATGCGAATCGTAAACGTTAGCCATTACGAACGTTAGCTTTATCCTTTCGTGTATTCATTCGCGATCTCGTCGGATGTAGTCTCGTCGTTATTTCCGCCCTCGGTTTTGCAGACGTTCAATGCAAAATCCACCTTTCAGGAGATACCATGCTCGAATTGTTCCTTTTAGTCCGTGGCAGATTATGACAAACGAACGACCCATCGATTAATCGAAGCAAACGTCTGGCTGCTTTCAGTCATGCGTTACTCGATTCTTTCGACGGGGAACCTCAACTTCTATGGACGCGAATTTGCATGCGATTTGCGCATAAATTCCCAGTTTCTGTCTTCGTTGTGGATCACCGTTCGATATTTTCTTCGATACTAGTTTTCCCGTCGATATTTTTATGCCTGTTGAATATTTATCGCCGTGCTGTTAGTTCCCCTCTATTTGCTCTGCTCGTGTGCATACTTTAAACACGGCGAAAATGAAGCTTATTTCGTTGGACCGTAAAACCGAATTTAAGCGATCCAGATTAATTTTTATCGTAAAACTGTGTTATTTTAGTGTTACTAGAATACACTTTGAGGTAAATGATCGTATCACCGAACATATAAGAATCTGATGGTGCGAAAGTAGCCATTTAACGCATCTTTACATAAACATGACTTCATTTTCTTTGAAAAATGTCGGAAGAGTGTTACTGTACATCAGAGCACAACATATTCCAAAGATTATAAACTACAGGATTTTACGACTTCAAAGCTTTAAATTTCCAGATTTTATAAATTCTAACTTTCCATACTCAGGTTTCAATGACCAGATTCCCAAACTTCGGAATATTCCTCAGATTTCTCAAATAATGAGCCATCGTTGTACCACTTTTTTTATCATTGTATCGTTAGATGTTTATCAATATATCTGGTTATTTTTCTTATTTTCTTTCAAGTAATGTACCCTGTCATTACAGTGCAGTGTCAGTTCACTTCTGATATTAATCATAGTAAACCAAGTCTACAGATTTCCTTTAAAATATAATTCTTGTTATCACCATGACTGTAGAAAATTCGGTAACTGCCAGGCAGAAACGTTATCGTACATATCTTGTAAAGCTGTTCTTTATCTCTTATCAGTATTCGCGTATCAGCGAAAATTTGCGATGCAGAGTTACGTCAAGTTCTATCAGCAGACTTTGCAAACTTGCTTGCATATTTAAATATTGATGGATATTGACGCTACGTGTTTCCAGATATTCGCGATCCGACAACGTGTCGTAAGTGTACGGTGAACTTTGATAATTGAATTGTCCCGGTGTGGATGTTAGCGATAATTAATATTCAAATATAACAAGAGTCCCGTGTATTTGGATCTCGACGTTTGCGAGATATCTTCGTTGTAGCGTAGGTTTCACCTGCATTCGTATTCAAGGTGCATCTTCTCTCTGTATTACATAAAACGCAATATCTTTCTGTGAATCTGCTTATTATGTTATAACAAGAGAATCGTTCAATTGAATTTTATGCGGTTTTTCCCTATGATGGTAAATACATTGTGCAGGTTAAATTGCTTCCTATATAGCTGAGCTGTGATCGTAAACACGTAGCCCGCCAAGGCTTTTCTTTTTCTATAGAAAAATATGAGCGATGGAATCTTTATTGAGAAATTGATATGTGGAAGGACGATCATTGCTTGGACAAACTACATATAAGGATATAAGGATCTGGATATGTTAGATAGAAATTTCAGAGTATAGGAATTTATGGATTTGGGAACGTAGACGATTGGATCCTTTAGGATTTCAAGATTTTTGTATATAGAAATTTAGTGTTTGAATATTTACGGGTATGGGGATAGCAATATGGAGAGATAGGGATACGGGGAGATAGGTATACGGGGATATAGCAGTACGGGGAGATAGGTATACGGGGATATAGCGGTACGGGGAGATAGGTATACGGGTATATAGCGGTACAGGGAGATAGGTATACGGGTATATAGCGATACGGGGAGACGGTAATACGGGGATATAGAAATACGGAAATATCGGAATTTGCAAATCTCCGAATTTAAAAATCTAAGAATATAAGAATATACAAATCTACAAATATTCCGGAATATAGTATCATGTATTCTATCAATAGATCCATCCATTGACATTCGAATCTAACATAAGATCCTAGAGATAATACAGAAATCTAAGAACATCCTGCGGACCTAGAATACAAAGATCCATTGATGTCACGCGATCACTCGATATTTCCAGTTCATAGTAAATATTAGGACACCGGTATCGCACACTTTCACTCAGTTCATACCTTTTGAATTTTTCTACCGCTCTACCCAATTCAATTGTAGCCCTGACAAAGAGTTTCGAAACTCTTTACGATGCACAGGTATGTCCCTTGCGGGTTTACGAATGCTATCAAGTTTTACTGCTGAGTTTACTCTTCTATTTCCTTGGAAGCCGATATGCGAGGAAGTTCAGATGCACGAAATATCTTTTTTAGCTCCTAGTATTCCACTCGTTTCTGCGGTACTATGAATTATTGGAATTCCAGGCTTTAAATTTTGCTACGTTGACACGTTGCTTTTAGAACGAGGCAAGATTGGTTGGAAGTTGCTTTATTGTGTCGGTAACAATGTATGCTACTTCGGAACCGGATTTCTACCCACAGTTTTTGAATCGATTCTGGATATGTGTAGCGTTGAGTTGAAGGCGCTTAATTGTTTTACGTTATTGCTAATTCAGTTTCGTTATGCATATTTTGCATTGGGCAATCAACATGTGCCGCTTGCATTCATTTGTATGGAACGTTCTTGGGACGTCATGATGTGTAATTATAAGGTGTATGTGACACATGCAGTACCGTTAAGGTCACCGGTGAACATTGACGTAACTAAGCGCATAGAGTTCGAGTTTAATTAATAAATAATATAAATAAACGTTGATAACATAAATTGAAATAATCGTACTGCATCAAATTATGAATATTATTTTCCGTACATATATCACTAGTTAAAAACTAAAATAATCTGTTCCACTTTATGGTTGCGTGAAAAATATGTGTATCTTGCACTCTGAAATTACATGCAAATTATCTTACAATATTCAGCTTTTTAATAGAAGTAGATATTTTATATGTAGGACAAAAAATCACGTTTGATATCTTGAAATATCAGTAAATTACATGTCGGGTAGAATAATTCAACAAATTTGTCCTATTTAAATACGGAATGTTGATTCAGCTGTCTATGACAATTAGAATATGTGTTATTGAACTCCTCTTCACCTGTTCAATTTTGTAATTGTAAATCATAGTTATTGTGTAATCTATCCTCGCTCGAGTCAAAGAATATCTTGCAGTTTCATTCTCATTCATTAATCGATCTAAATATACCTGCGTAGGTATGCGCATGTACGAGACTTTTAACTATTACTTTCTAGACATTGAAATTATTTTTTTAAGATATTTTACTATTTCTAAAGTAAGTTATGCTGTGACAAATATTTACTTGTATTTGCTGAAATACCATTTATTAACAACTAGTAGCTATTATTAATATCATGTATAATACTGATCCTGTATCTCACGCAATAATTGTATGAGATATTATATTATATATAATAGTTACCAATACTAGTAATATTACTAGACATTGCTATTAATAGTAGTAATAATAATAGTAGAAATAGTGTTGATAATAATAGTAGTAAAAATAATTTCCTAAAATTTTCTTCCACTAATAATTAAAAAAAAGTAAAAAATTGTGGATGTAAACGGCACAATAAAATGTGAAGAATTCGCAAAAGGCTATTAATGTAACAAATCTATTTTGAATGAGACACCTGTTCGCAAGTATGTATGCAACTCAACCCAATTACGTGATTTATGTTCGGACAATGGTCGATGTGAAAATTTCTATGTGTTACGCTATTTTTGCTCCACAATTGTGAACCGATTTAATACCGTTGTATCTGGTCTGCGTGCACAATCCCTAACAAAAATAGATGGCCGATCTATTCGGACCTCTGGGTACCCACCAATGTAGCCTTATTTTTTACTATATCGGATTACGTAATAATAAGTGTTTCTACAAAATTAATTAGATCTACCGAACATATTTATCGAATTTCATTTGCATGAAATAACTTTTTTTGAAATTCCATCGTGAGATTCTGTCCGTTTTATCCTAAAAGGAGCAATCGAATTTATTTATTATACAAAAGAATGATGCTGATATAGGATTTATTCTCGGTGGACCGTGATTCAATAAATATGGAAATTTTCTCGCGAGTCAATGCAAATTAAATTATCTCCTTCAAGGTAATTGCAAAACTTGTGGGACAATATTTATTGCTTAAAATTTCACGTGTTACGTTTGAAATATTTATGACTGTGTACTTATTCGGATATCAGACAGGATCGATGATTGCTCCAATTTTGTATGGAAAAATTGATTAATAGGCTGTACTTCTCCATTTTCAACTACCTTCGAATATCGATCGGTGAGACATGACATCGATTATATCACCGTTTTCTTTTTCTTTATCTCAAGCTATCTGGACGGCTCACTTACGAAGATACGAATCTTAAGTTGCGTTATCAAGTCGCCTAGTTTCTCTTAAGACTGCTATTAGTCACGATTATTTCTACTATACTAATTACATGGCGCGTAACCATACCGGATATTTTGCAGATATATTATTTACACGTAACAGGTACAAATTACTGCAAATATTTACTTTTGCTTGTACAATTTGCTTGTAATATTCTTGTCAAATTATTTTCTATAAAACTTTATGAAACTAATAAGAATTCTGCAAAATTAATAACAAATGTCAATTTGTGTATAAAACAGAGCAAACGAATTTTTAAAAAGAATTATAAGATGTTGTTATTACAAAAATAACTGATAATGTCTACTTTAAATAAATTTTTATTCAGATCGTATTCATTACCTCTGAACAGATAAATTTTATTCGAAAATTATATATTTTTGTTCTCTAAAAAAATCATTTGTTATTCTGAAATATATTTCATTAAAAAAGTTTCGTAGATTATACGTCACTCAGCAAGTAAATTGAACGAAGTAAAGTAGGTGACTTAAACAGTATGCTAAAATGAATTGGGATAAATTTAAGAACTAAATGAAAAATTTTCGTTTCGAATGTTACTGAAATTGATTCTGGGGATCGCATATTTTCGTTTCCGGTATCAGCGTAATTTCTCTTGGGATTAAGTTGATGAATGTCTTTCGTTATATCCCGTTGACATTCGTAACAAATTCTGGCGGTATTTGTTTTCAAAGCTTCTATCAAAGGATTTCATTTCAAAGCACTCTCATATACGACATGTTTTAAATGCATGCCGCAAAGTTAATTTCCGATTGAAAGAAATACTCATGTTTTCAATGTTCCCTTTTTTCCATTCATTCCCGAAATTGAATTTATTAACGTGTTTCTAGTTGTACAGAATTATGCAGGAACTCTGATAAAAAATCGAAGTTAACCGAACATGGGAAAAATGTTATTAATCTTTAATCAAATCATACTCTGTCATTTCGATGATAATTGTGAAAATCACAAAGGGAGGATATTTCTACGATTTCAATTTAAACAAATATTTTTAATATATTAGGTACCTGACAATTTTTAACAATATACAATTAGAGTACTTCTGAAGTACTTCTGAAAGATTTTGAAACAGAATACTTGGTAGATAAATGGGTACTTCAGATAATGGTTCCCAGAGAACAATATATTTGAAAATTCGTACAATGGAGTGTTTAATTTTGGTATACTTATCCACTCATTAAGCAAGTAATTTCTGTAATAAATTTCAAAGGTTTCCACATAGTCACGTTTCACCGCTTTTACATGTAATATAATTTGTATAAATTATTTTGTTTAGTCCTCTATGTAATGATAAAAGTGTGCAAAGAACTGCGAAGCAGGTCAGTACATTACTATAATGAAGATGTTCATAATTTATTGCATGAATTGTTCCACACGATTAATGGTTAGATAACAAGCATACTGAAATTGAAATAAAACCTCTCCTGTTATTAAAACAATACGAAGTTGAAATTTAACATCGTTATTACTAATGTAGCATTTAAATTGAAATTTAATGTTCTTATTAATACTGAGCGGAAATTGAAATTTAACGTTCTTATTATTAATACAATAGTGAAGTTGAAATTTCACATTTTTATTACTTATGCATTCAAGTTGAAATTTAACATTCCTATTACTGAATTAAATTTGAAGATTAATATTCTTGGTACTGAATCAAAATTGAATTATAATATTCTCATTATTAATATAGCGTAATGAAGATAGAACTAGTTATTGGTATTGAAATATTAACAATTTCCAGCAATCTTTCCTGGCATTTACCGTGCCAGAATATAAAAAGAGCGCTTTGGGCAAAAAGGGAATCGATCCCAGATTTCCAATTACTAGCCAAGCAATCATCTCAGTTCGCCAACGAAAGTTCCGCAAATTCCAGCTTCATATATTCACAGCACATGTTCAAAATATATCTCAAAAAGGTATCTACAATATTTCACACGTTTTGCAAAAACTCAAAATATCGTAGATCGAAAAACTCTTCACTGTGCACTGTCGTAAAATATTTCTCGAATTTCAAATATATAAAAATATCACGGAGCATTCGAAAGGGTAAAAATCGTCGACGTTCCTTTACCTGCGGCACAGAGGATCAGGAACAAACACCTTCGCATGATTTCCACCTGTTCAGTCGATGATTTACTCGCCGTAGTGGTCGGTGCGTAGATAAAAACGCGTAAACAGAATCGTCCTCATCCTCGTTCACGAGTCGCACTTTGATCCGCGCATCAAGGGATCTCCTTCGATCGGATGGCTCGATTTATATCGATCACTGACGGAACGTGTTCGCGATCTGTCGGCCTCGTCGTGCACGAGTGCAAACGAACGCGGGTAGAAACTTCCACGGTGGAGGTTCGCGAGCGACTGAAACCGCCGCTTCCATTCCGCTCGTCGTCAAGGTATATACGAGCCGAGCTTTCGATCCGGACCCGTGCTTCCCCCGTGTGTGCCCGCATACTTTCTCGATCTGCCGGCATTTTTCAGGGTCCTGGCCAGATGCGACCCGCGTACGTTTCGTTTGTCAAACGCCGCGACGCCCTAACAATTTTTCCTAAATTTGTTCCAAAATCGAATCTGAAATTGGACATTTTAGAGATTGGCGGATTTTGCGGGGATAACAGAGATGTTTTGAGTGACGGTCTTGCGAATGATCTCTGACGACCAGAGGCAATTTAGTCACTTTTCCTTATACATCGGTAGAGATTGGTTTTAGATATTGGCAAAAGACTTTGATTAAGTTTACGTTTTGATTGGTATTTGCTGTAATATCGGTTTCTTTTGTAGGGAATAATTTTTAGGGATAGTTCAAGTATATGTTTCAATGTGATAGTTTCTGGTATCGTATATCTAGTATATAAGTGTTGCAATTGAAGTATATTAGATTTGAGTATATTATATTAGTGATGTTTCCAAAAATTATATTGATGGTATGATATGTAGTAATAGGCTATAATATTTAATTTCACTAAAGTACCTTGCACGTATCCTTGAAATTAGAGATCAGTATTACGTATATGCGATGTGTACTACTGTCTATATAATTGTCGATCATTTTTTACTTCTATGTGTTTTTGTGTTTGAATGGAAACATACAGAGAATGGTCGTTGCAATTTTATGGTTCTCTTTATATTTGAATACGAAGTATTTTAGTACTTTAGTAGGCGATATGCAACTGCATCTGTAAATTCATAAAATACGATCAAAGTGGTTCGTATCTTCGAACACTGGTTTTTCAATTGCTCAATCTTTTTAATTTTTATATCTCTATGTTACAAAATTTCTGAGCCACTAAATTTCTAATTTTTCGTAGAAAATTTTTAATATAAAAAATTTAGAAATTTAGAAATTTAATGTGTAGGAAATTTGTAACGTAAAAATTTAGAAATGTAAAATTTGATAATTTGAAATTTGAAGGGTTTCAAATGTAGATACTTAGAAATGTGCTATTATTATATAATCTGGTTCTGTTTAAATATCCGGATACTATATTAGGAACCAGGTGCGATAATCGAAACCATTGTCCATGTAAATTCACCTAATAAAATCAGCAATTTATTAACAATATAATGAAAATTTTGATGCGGACCTGAAAAATTCCTAACTTGTTTTTCATTTTTGTAGAACGAAGCTATTTCAATAATCCTTCGTCGATAAATTGGGATTTAGAGGATTAGAGAACTTTAATAAAAGTTCGCCGCTATAAATCCAATACGTAAAACTGTTCAGAAACATGTGTAATGAATCGTATTTTAAAAATTGCAGTCGAGAAACAGTGAAAATCGAGAAACGAAAATTATTTACGATTTCAGTCGCCGTTTTCCGGTCTCGCAAAAATATCCGTACCGCGAAGAAATATTATTTCTATTAGAAAACGCTGTTAGTGCAACGCTTGAATTTCAGCTAATGAAATATCGAAGTATAATGTATTCAACATCATTATTTCACACGTTAATATCTGATTTGCATGCTAAATTGATTAACCTCGCGCGTGTATGCAAATTTTATTTCTTGCTTTGCGAGAGTGATAACTGTATTCGCTATTTTTAATTTTATTGGTTTTTAATATAATTGTGAAATGTATTTATAATATGTACTATATTATATTGTATTTATTATAGTACATTTATTATATTTATATTCATAATGTATTTATAATATATTTTCTTAAGTTCTTTACAATTAAACAGAAATTCTTGAAATATAAATATATGACAACAGTAATGTTTGTGAACTTGATGTTGAAAGATTTTGAATATGATTAATGATCATATTAATAATTTGTGATTTTAAAAATTTATAAATTTCAGTGTTGGTAAATTTGAAAAATTGCAAGTTTGAAATTGTGTATATTTTTAAATGACTTGAAGATTTATAAATTTGTTAACTTCAAAATTTAAGAACTTCCAAACTTAAAAAATACAAAATTTTTCCATGTGGAAGATGGAAAATTTGAAAGATGACAAATTAGTGAATTTGAAAATTTGAACAATCGAACACCGGAAAGAACAGTTTCTGTCCTTCCTCATTTCTATCGTGTTAACAAGTCAATATTTAAAAATCTCTTCATCATCCTCGAAATAATAACATGGGCTATCTCGTTCTATCACACAAAGGTGACCATTCTGTTTTATTCTCCCAGTATTTTCAAGCTAGCCTATTTTCATAGATTACATTCATCATTCCGTGACTTTTCATCTGGCGAATAATAGGATGGATGATATCGATTCTGCGCTTGGTTAGCTAATAAATGTACTCTCTGTATGCGAGAATATTCATTTCATTTCTTTCTCTATCTTTCAAAAATGTCATCCGAACTATTCCACATTTATTTTCTCGCAAATTCATACGGTATATCTTCATTCTATTGTATGACGCATCCTACTCGTAAAGATATTATTCTCTGGTGATTAATATTCCCACATAGTTAGCGAACAAGGCAACATTTTTCTAGGTTCTTCTTAACTTTTTCAAGTCTACGTGGATTCCACATGCGAAACGTATCGCTAGGGATTTGTCACGCAGTCTCTCAACGTCAGTTACTTTTCTTTTCTCGAACACGAGTACCTATCTTTAATTAGCGTATTGTTCCGGCTGAGAAATGGTTGAACAGCTTACAGATTCTTTATTTAGAAACGTATTTCAGAAACACGACTTCGGATTTTCTTACAGCTGTGCGTTTGTTTCTTGAATACAACTTGTGAGTTATTGGTGCTTGAAAATGTTCGTGGACGTGTCGTGTGAAATGTTTAGGTAAATAAATTTACGGCAAAAATTTTGAAATTAGACGAAAAATGTTGCAATGCTTAATTGTGAAGAAGTTGTGGTCTCAGTGAAAAATTTGAAGTTCCAAAATTTCTTAGTATGAAAATTTATAAATTTGAATATGCAGTTTCTCTACTTTTCAAATTTCCAAGTTTGTGAGATATAAGATTTGTAATTTCTAAATTCCTAAGTTTAAAAATTTGTAAATTTAAGATATCTCCATTTCTAAACTACGAAAGTCCTAAATACTCAGTATGTTATATATATATGAATATGTCATGTATTCTGGGTCAAAATGATCCACTGCTGTGTCTGATCGTCGCTGAATAATTTCTGTAGTATTAATCATTAATAAATATCCCAAAAAAGGTAATTGATCACCAAAGTCGTACACCTGCTAAAAATTCAATTCACCAAGGTATATATTAGTAACAATTAAAATCTCGTTAAAAAGTGCCGAAAGCCGTCAGCAACGTAGATTTATGTAACGATAAACAGGTGGTCGGATGATTCACACGAGTGAATTTCGGGCGATGATAAATAACCATTTCTCCGATAATAGAAAGCGTAATGGTGATTTCATTCGTTCGCTGCGATCGTGGGTAGACCCGAAGTTACGTAATCGCGATCGTAATTGAATACGAAAAAAGTTCAAACAGCTCCGCTTGGCATTTGCCATCAGTCAAGGATGCGTGAATTTGAAATTGTAATCGCGACGGTTGGGTAGCCTCGCTGATTTCATTCGGATCGCGGGTAAACGATGATCGTCTATGAGGGCGAGTACCGATGTCAACCCGTGAGTTGGCGCGTTAAGAGGCTGAGGAAAGCTAAGGTACAATTGGTCAGAATCAGTATATTCCGAATCTCTACACTTCTGAATTTCTGCATTCTAGAATTTCTAAAATTCCGAATTTTTACACTTCCGAATCTCCATATTTCCGAATCTCTACACTTTCGAATCTCTACACTTTCGAATCTCCACACTTCCGAATCTCCACATTACCGAATCTCCACACTTCCGAATCTCCACACTTCCGAATCTCCACACTTCCGAATCTACATTTCCGAATTTCCACACGTCTGAATCACCACACTTCCGAATTCCTACATTCCCGAGTTCCTGCAATTCCGAATACCGACATTTCCAAATCTCTACATCCCCAAGTTCCTACGTGTCCAAATCGGTACATGTCCAAGTCGCTATATCCCCACATCTCTACATCCCCAAATCGGTCCATTACCAAGTTCCCACATCGCCAAATTCCTACATTCCCAAATTCCCATATACCCAAATTCTTACATCCCCAAATTCCTGCCTCCCCAAATCGACAATATGAACCTCAAGTGTGTCATGGGTGCGTCATGCATAGCTCACTCACCAACTCATGAGTCGGCATCGGTAAGTTTCATGATCAATTGCAGAAGAAAATTATACCTCGGTTGCAAAATTTTCGCGAAAAAAATTCAAACCTTTCTGGGTATAAAGATTTCAAAGTATTTTAATTACTGTACCGACTGCAGGGTTTACAAACAGCAAACATTTTGCGCGTTCTGCGAAACATTTGTGCGTTATGGTTCCTCGAATCTCTCTACGTTTTCTGAATTTGTTGACATTTCGACAGAAAATTGGCAACTGCGGAGTAGAATAAACGTGAATTCAGAAGTGAGTGATTATTTATTGTCGAATATTCTGGTATGAGGATATTTCTGATTGTAGACATTACTTCGATGGTAGGATGATTAATTGAAACTGTAAAATTTCTGACGTTGTTTTTTATTAATATTAAAATATAACATTGATATTTGTAGTACACTATTTTTTATTGTGCAATTTTTTAGATATTTATGACTGGATTAACCCTTTGTACTCGAAAGTATTTTTGCTGTTCGAGATTACGACCCTAAAATTTTGTGTTAACGAATTTAATGAATTTTGAAGTTATTTCAGTGCTATGTGATATCTAGTTCACTGTGTTCATCACATGCGTAACACTCTAGATTTAATTAAAAAATATCTATTTCATATTGTTAAATTAAATCAAATGGAGAGTATGAGTCACGTTTCGAGTGCAAAGAGTTGAAATTATCGTCTCTGATTATTTGCAATGATTAATGGT